CTTAGCATGGTAGAGAATGAAGTGAGCTTAACAGGTGTAATAGCTGCTTGTTTCCATTGAAACCCACCTAACTTGCACACCCCACAATTGAATAGTCACATAATAAAAATGAAAACTCTGCAACAAACATACAAATACCCCAAGTAGTGTTTTCACCCTGTCACGGATCCATAAGATCAGTCTCTCGGAAGAACCTTATCCGCGTGTCAAACCCCTCACCCCACTCCAGAGTAAGCCATGTGGCTTCAGCAACTCCTTACACCTGACCTGTGGGACGGCTTCACGTGGTGAGCTCTATTTAGCAGAGACAGCGCGCTGATGGAGGCTTGTACACTTTTTAGAGTTCATTACACCTCTCCAAGCCTTTGCAGTGACACTCACAGAGTGTTGTCAAAACAGCAGATGATCAGTCATCAGGAACACGGCACAGGCAGTCCTCAGGTTAACGCAGAGGAATGAAGGCTAAAGCATAGTGCATTCTGGTTAGTTCCGAGCCCAACCAAGCTGTCATGAATGCTAGTCTCTCTTCCATCTGTCGGACTCCCTGGTGTGCCCACCTGCTTGCTGCAGCAGCCCACACTTAACCCCTACCTCCCATCCCTCTGTTCTAAAGCTGAGAACATGCTGCTCTGCTTCCTGGGGTGGGGGGAGGGGGGAATCTATGACTCTTGTTTTTTAGGTCTCGACCAGGAAACTGCTATTGCATTTTCAAGAGGTCCATTGTTATGGGACCCAAGACCCAGACAGCCAGGCACCATTCACGTCTGTGTCTTTGCCTGCCCTGATAGCAAACACTCCTTTTCCACCCAGTGGTTAACTGTGCAGCATTATAGGGGAAACTGAGGCACAAATGGGCCTCCTTAAAAATACTAGAGAAAATTCCCACTTTGTCACAGCCCCAAAGAAGGAGAAATGCCGGATACACCATGAAATACACTGGTGGGAGGGCAGATTTTCTCTTGCTACTGATGTTATGTGAAAGGTCCTCAGATACTATAGTGACTGGCATAATCCAAGTGTTATGCTAATAAACAAACAACCACAAGGACAGATTTTTTCAGCTCTTCAGACACAACAGATAAGTCCCATCATATATATTTTATTTTAGGAAAAGTTACTGAAGTGGCACTAAAATGTTCCTATCCTAGAGCTCATGTGATCAAATTGTCTATACATTTCCATGACAGACCCATACTGGTCTAACTGTGACTCCTCAGTCCATGGGCCTCCAGAAACTCAGATTCATCCTTCTCTCTTTGGGGGAGCAACACCTACGTACCTTTTCCCTAGCACTGGGCATCCGTGCTGTGATCTCCCCAGGTGGATTCCACTGGGCATACTCAGGCAGTTCCACATGTGGTTGTTCTCCTGCCTTGCTGATGACCACTCACTGAAAGCATTGGGAGTCGCAAGATGCTGTTGACCTCCCAAGACCTGTCCAAAAGTACACTGCAGTACAAATAATAGCTCTCGTTTACATAGTGACTTTCACCCTACTGTACCCTGAATTCTCATGGCTTTGGAAATTCAACAAGCTGATATAGTTAGGGCAGAAGGATCCTTTCAGTGTAGCTGTCTTTTTGAACATTACATCCCTAGGCACCTGACCTGATTCTGCAGCTCTCTGTGGGACCACTGGTGTGAGTAAGGTCTGCAGCATCAGACTTACATACAGGGAAAAAGAACAGAAGAGAACCTGGGCAGCCTCTGAGTGGTGCGTCCATAGCAACATACCCATTTGTTGTGGCTCAAGCATCAGAATACTGGTTTGCTATCAAGCCATAAAGCAGACTCAGATTCAGATTCATGGTGGTATATCTTCTTTTAAATATGCTGATCATTTTAAAAGTACATCACTGGTGCCTGCTATGACCAGATGAACTGATTTTAAAGATAGTCCCGATATATGGGGGTTTATTTCAAATATAGTCACCTATTACTCCCCAGCTCCATCCCAATTTTTCACACTTGGTATCTAGTCATCCTACTGGCACCTTAGGTGAAATTGTTGACCACTGTTGTACGTAAAAAACAACAAATGATCTGGTAGCACTTTATAGACTAACAAAACATGTAGACAGTATCATGAGCTTTCGTGGGCACAGCCCACTTCTTCAGATGACCAGAGTTATGAGTAGGGGATATGAAAACTCAAAATAAATAGGAGAAGGTGTCTCCCATCCCCCCTTCCTGTTTACTGGAGAATGGATGTTAGACCAAAGCAGATAAAAATCAAAGTCAGTGACATTTTTATCTGCTTTGGTCTAACACCCATTCTCCAGTAAACAGGAAAGGGGGTGGGAGACAGAGCATCTTTCTCTTCCCCCCCTCCCTCTTACCTTTCCCTATTTATTTAGAGTTTTCATATTCCCTACTTATAACTCCTTCCCTTCTCCTATTTATTTTGAGTTTTCATATCCCCTACTCATAACTCCAGTCATCTGAAGAAGTGGGCTGTGCCCACGAAAGCTCATGATACCATCTGCATGTTTTGTTAGTCTATAGACTCGACTACCCCCTGAAGCTCCATTGTATGTAAGACTTTGTATTGCAGAAAGTCAGAAGAATTCAGCGTCAGAGCTGTAAATATATTAATCACACAACCAACCTCTCTCACCCCTCCCCCAAACAAGAGACATTTGCCTTTTCATTGTAAGCCTGAAATTCAGCCTGAGTCACTGAAAGCTTCAGGGAGGTTCACAAACTTTCTCAGAGGTCCTGGACTGAACTCTGACCATGACCCTCCTTCTATACAAGGTCTGGAGAGGGGTTTGATGGAAATCAGCCATGTGATTGCTAGTTTCTGCTCACTTGTGCTCTGAGGGTACATCTACACAGCAGCATTATTTCGGAATAACTGATGTTATTTTGAAATAACAAAATGTGCATCTACAAGCAAGCTATTATTTTGAAATAATGTCAAGATGGAGGACTTCTTACTCCAACTCCTATAACCCTCATTTTACAAGGAGTAAGGGAAGTCGAAGGAAGAAAGGTCTTCCCCCAACTTCCTGCTGTGTAAACAGCGCCAAAAGCTGATTTAAGCTATTTTGACTTCAGCTAAGCAATTGACATAGCTGAAGTTGCATGTCCTAATTCGACTTTTGCCCTGCTGTGTAGATGTACCCTCAGTGTTTGAGTTCAACACCCCCCAAAACGTTTTAAAACTTTTTTCAAAAAAAGGTAATGAGAACAAAGAAAAAATTACTTGACCCTTCTAGGAATGAAAATGAAGATCTTTCACGTGCCTTTTTTTCTTTTAATTCTTTGGTTTAAAATATTGAGGACAGATCGTGTGCTTCTTACAGAAGTCGCCTCCACTGACTGATGGAAATAATCTGCATTTGCATTGGTGCAACTGAAAGAAAAATTTGGCCCTCTCTTTTTACGCACACCTTGTTCAGGCACAGCTACTTTATTGGGAGCTTTGCCAGAGTCTGCAAACATTGAACAAAGACCACAAGATTTGGCCCAAAATGTTAGTTAGCACCCTTGGAGAAGTTTAGATCTGAATTCAGATCCAAATCTGAAACTCCACAAACTTAAAGGTGTTTGAACTGGAGAGTTGCCATTGTTGGGGCCAGTCACAAAGTGAGGTGTGAATTATGAAATGTCAGTCTAGACTAGTACTTGAATCTGAGCTACCCCCTAAATTCATAGATGGTCACATTTAAGTTTCAACTTTGCTTCTCATTATAAAGATAAACCGGAACCTGGATGTTTCAATCCAGAGCCCATGTTCAGGTAGGAGCAGTGGAGGTAGCACCTCGGGAGTTCTGGTTCAGTCTCATCTTTAATCGAGATGCTGCACCTTTACCCAGTTAGCTATTCTGTAGCAAAACACTTGCCAGGCCCAGCCCTAGTGACAGCAGAGACTGTGGAATGCATTATTGCCATGGAGCAGATGTTGCTAGGAAACCAAACAAGTAACAAGTTTATCTTCATACCAGAATCCTTGGAAACTGGAATAAGCTGGGAGGAATAGTCTTGACTTGGAACCACAGCATCTCATCCATAACTACTACCAAACAGCATCTTAGGCTCAGCCAAACCAAATAGGTGATGTGTGTCTGGGGACTTGCAAGCTATAATTTTTTCCAAGAATACCTTATCTGCAAAGAATGCTAAATAATCATTTAAAATACACACATCTTTTAAAAACAATACAAACAAAGCAAAAAGAGCTAAAACCAAAGGTTTGTTTGAAGTAAAATTTTAAGCCATAAGACACAGCCCGGGATGGGGTAGGTGTGATCAGTAGAGCTTGCATCTGCATCCACAAAAATGATCTGTGGATTTAAAACAGGTATCTGCAGATTTGCAGGGCTCTAGTGATCAGCACACAACTCAAGTACCTAGAGAAGCATCTCTTCCCAGCCTTAATGGGCCTCCTTGTTTTACCTGGTGTTGAGAAACACCAGTCATCATCACCACACAGTTCTTAATTAATTTTTTTAATACAAAAGGCAATTGAGAAGACTATTAAATTGTCAGAATACCAACAGCTTGCCTAAACTGACTTGTGAGCCAGTTGTCTACATTATAGGTTTATATCAGGACAGCTACACTGGCAGCTGAAAAACCAGACTAGAACAATAGGTACCTTAGCGCATGTCTACACAGCAGAGCAAAAGTCAAATTCAGATACGCAGCTTCAGCTAGGTCAATTGCATAGCTGAAATCGAAATATCTTAATTCGGCTTTTGGCACTGTCTACAGAGCAGGAAGTTGAAGGAAGAACACTCTTCCTTCAACTTCCCTTACTCCTCATGAAATGGGGGTTACAGGAGTCAGAGTGAGAAGTCCTCCTCCATCTCAACATTAGTTTGAAATAACAGCTTGCTGCGTAGACGCACGCTATGTTATTTCAAAATAAATTCGGTTATTCTGAAATAACCCTGATCTGCAAACGTACCCTTAGGTAACTGAAGCTAACAGAGGTAAAACTCATAATAGTTTGCCTGTGATTTTGTGATATCTAAGTCAGTTGCCCGGGTGACAGTTTTGGCATAAAAATAGGATTATGACTCCACATTAGAAACAAGATGAAGGACACTGGAGCGGCAAGATGATCTACTAAATAGGGCATTGGACTAGGACTTCAGACATCTAATAACTAATTACAGTGAATTGGCTGATCACGCTTACCACTGCCCTCTACTGAAGGGAAACAGAAGTGCTGAGGTGTGTCATGTACCCTAAGCTTGTAGCAACTAATGGCAATTCCTTTTCAGGTGAAGTGCCAGGTACTTTTTCAAACACAAGGTTCTGAGTTCTAGTCCTGGCGATGTGAAGTTGTAAACAAAACTGAGTGAATAATTGATGTTTAGGTTTGGTGGTTAAACTAAAAAAAGTGCACAAAAATCATGTTAGTTCATTTTGTCTGTTTTGTTTTGGGGTTTGGCTGTTTTAATTAAAAAAAAATACAATTAGATATATTTCAAAATGAACCATCAGTTTGAATTCAGAAGTTAACATTTTCAGAAAGTCAGAATGAAACAGGCTGATTTTTTTTCTTTTGGGAATGGATAACAGAGAAGAGCTGAAACTGTTCACCGAATTCAACTTGAAGTTGTAGGTAGTTTTGGTCAACCTGAAACTGCCCTTTTCTGCAAATAAATGATTTCTCTGAAGAATTTTCATCCTGTTCTATTTGTCATTGGGTAGGGTAAACAGCAGAATGACAGCCCTAGAGATCCGAGCTGCACTTAGATTAAATAGAATTAAAAGGGAAAGGAAAATGACAGAAAATGCATTTTAAAATCGCTGCAGATTGTTTGTTTGGCTTAGTGTTTCTCCATCCAGCGCCAGTGGCCCTTTAACTGGTTTTGAGTTGCTGCTGTGTCTACTTAGCACTGGCATATTAATCCACATTTGTATGTAGTTTGGAATGAGACTATTGAAAAAGAATTTCAGCAGTGTGGCTTGGTGCTAATTATCCTCCAAATTGTGTTTGTGACCTGGGAAGACCATCAATTTAAATGCATTTTGAAAACTACTCTTTGTTAGTCACCTCATACTCAGTCCTTCCACCGGCAAACTGCCAGTGACTTCTGTTGGTGCAAGTGGGAGTTTGTACTCAGTTCTGCTCTGATGAACATTGTGGGTATGTCTACACTACCCCGCTAGTTCGAACTAGCGGGGGAATGTAGGCATACTGCACTTGCAAATGAAGCCCGGGAAATTCAAATCCCGGGCTTCATTTGCATAAGCGGGGCGCCGCCATTTTTAAATCCTCGCTGGTTCGAACCCCGTGCAGCGCAGCTACACAGGGCACGAACTAGGTAGTTCGAACTAGGAAGCCTAGTTCGAACTACCGTTACTCCTCGTTAGGGGGTAGCCATACTTTAGCTGCACTGAGGCAAACCAGTAATACAGGCAGGGTAAAATAGGGTTAACATATTTGAAGTTTCAGAAAAGAAGACACACACTGTTCAGCAACACCCTCCTCCCCCTGCTTCTGCAGCCTGTTGCATGGGCGTGCTGGACACCTGAGTTTTAGGGTTGGAACCAGAGGTCCGGAGCAAATCCAGCTCATGAGCTAGGGATTCAGGTCACCATAAGCAATGCATTGTGGGTACGCAAATGAGCACCCCTGGACACGCCTGAGTATGCGGAGGAGCTGGGATCTCCCAGCAGCGGCTGCAGCCCCTAAAACGCAGCTTGGCGCTAGGCTGGGCAGGGCTATGTGCTTCCCTCAGGCGGGGCAGGCGGGCTGCTCCAACATTCTATATAAACATATCTACATTTGTTTGAAAAAGAATGAGCAGGGCAAAAACCTGGACATTTTTAGATATCTAGAAAGCCCAGCCGGACGGAGATTTAAGGACCAAAAAGGAGGACATATCCGGAAAAATCGGATGCATGGTAACCCTACAGTAAAACAAAATAAGTCACTGTTTGCACCTGGGCAGGTCATCGCCATTCTAACCGGGTCAACTCTACCAGCACAAAAAGCAGCCTTTCTTCTCTACCCAGGATTTGCATGGATGCGGCTATTCTGATGGCTGGTCACCGACGGCTGTAATTGGGCAAAGCTCGGGTGCAGTCAAGGCCTTAACTTCCCTTTGCCTCAGAAGAAACTGAGAAAGCTGCAAGCGCAGCACACTCACAGACATGCATAATGAAGAGATAATGTCAATGAGATAGAACATTATCATAGGATAATGGTCTCCTGCTGCTACATAAATACCACAGCAAAGCTGAGACATTTATGTGCAAAGAGGGAAACATAACATTGACCCTGTGACAATGCTCTTTTACAATTACCTTAATTGTGTTAGGTCAGTGACTGATGTACTTGTGCATGTATCACGGGGGCTGATGGATGTGCATCAGTCGGCTGGCAGTCATTCATTATTGAACCATTGCCTCCCAGTTGGCTTAGAGAACAACTAGATGTCTAAGACAGGCAGCATTCACCGGATCCATAAACAGACAGCCGGAAAGCACCAGAGGCAGGGGGGAAGAGTGCTTGTGTGGGCAAGGCATTGTTATGGTGTTCTTAGCTCTGCTGTCTTCTGTGATCTCGGGCAAGCCATTACACCCCTCTGCGGGTGTGTTGTCACTAGGAAAAAAAGATGTGTTTTTAACCATCTGTTAGTTAAGGTGACAAAATCCTAGTGTAGACAAGGCAGTTGTAGTTTTAACACATTAATTACATTATTATTATTAATTATTATTATTTGAATTACCATAGGGCCTAGAAACCTAGGCATGGACCAGGACCCCATTGTGCTTGGAGCTGTTCAAACCCAGAGCAAAAAGACAGTCCCTGTTAGCTGGTCGAGGTGCATCAGTGTATATCCAGGTCAGTCATGACTGATAGTTGGTACCATCTGATGGCCTTTGTGAAATGTTGTAAGAGAAACCACTATCTTTGGGGCCCTTTTTGGTAGTGTCAGCAAGTGAAGCCAAGAACAACTAGGCACAGAGAAAGAATTATCCTCTTGCTTCTAAATTATCCTCTTGTTCCCCAGGTCAGGGATGTGGCACAGGGGTGGAGTAGAAGGGAAATTTGGAACAAGCTTTTCTTGCTACTCTAGGTAATATTCTAAGGCAGTGTGGCAACTTTCGCAAGTACCAGATTCATTTAACAGAAAGTGTGCTGTGGTTTTTACATGTCATCTGGTTTCCCCTGTCGAAATGTGAAAGGCTTTTTCTTTTGGGGGAAACTGTTTGAAACGTGCCTGCCTAAAGCATTCCCTTGCCTAAATATTACACTAATCTACAAATTATATGCCACATTGCAAAGCTACCCATCTCTGCTGCTATTAGCAAAAATGATCACACAGGCAGCCCCATGTGCTACATATCCCTAAGCCTCTGTCAGAAACTGGGACTGGATGACAGGGGGTAGATCACTCATTAAATTGTCCCGTTCTCTTCATTCCCTCTGCAGCATCTGGCAAGTGGCCACTGTTGGAAGACAGGGCACTAGGCTTGATGGACCCTTGGTCTGACCCAGTATGGGTGTTCTCAAGTTCTTCTAGCTTACATTGAAATGTCACTAGTGCTCTGCTGGGAAATTTATCCTGCAAGAAACTCCCCTGCACTTCTGCAAAACTAGTGACATTGTCCAAGAGATAAAGCCTATTTGTTCTGAGAATAGTCCTCCCAGTTTATTACTTTCTATATTTAAACATGACTCTTCAGTGCTTACTCAGTCTCTGGCTAGCTGTCAGCCCTGCCAGGAAGTCCTCCACCACCTTAGTACAGCTGCCTCCCTCCTGTTTGTTACACCCTTCAGCTGACACCTATCTTGCCAAGTCAGGAATGAGAGCTGAATGGTCAACCCAGCCTGCACCTTAGAAACAGTCTAAAAAGTGGTGTGGGCCCCAAGGGCCTTTGGAGAGTGTGAGCTCATCTCCCACAATTCCCCTGGGCTCCCAGAACAGCTTTTGAAATCTCCCACAAACCTCTCTTGTGGGGTAGACACCCTAAAGCGGTGCCACAGCAAAAAGACAGCATCGTGCAAATGGAGTGGTATCATAAAACTGAAGCTCAAGTCGCTTGGCTTGCACACACACACTGGTGTTTACACAGGTGTCCTCCTGTTGATTCAGTTCTCTAATGTCCACACAGACAAAGGGTCACACTTTAAAGCGAGTCTCCGATGGCACGGATTTTCCTTAGACAGAATGAGACATGAATGTTGCATGACTCAGATCTGTGTACAACTACCATTCTGCACTGTCTCAGATATTCCCCCTGAACAAGTACGCTCAATAGCTCTGGACGTAACAGGATGTTCTTTTCTACAAATCACTGGAGTAGACCGGGGGGACTGAAGCAGTGAAGCTGGCAGCATGGATTCTGTTTTCAGGGCAACCTTTTAACGCCCAAGCTCTAGGCAAACAGAGCTTCTAACATTGTGGGTGTGTGCCAAGAGAGAGAAGGTGCCAGCTGCTGTATTTACTACTGGTCAATTCCTGGAGTGACAGTGGAGCTGTCTGCACCTGCTCTTTGTGGTTGATTAAAGAAATAATACCAAGAGGGTTACCTGAGAGAGGCCTGGCAGAAGTCCCTCTGGTATAGGATACTATGCACAAGGCTAGTACTTGTCTGAAAAGTTCGCTATACACCTGACTTTGAAGTATGAAGGGAAAGCTTCAATACATACATATAGCTCCCTATCTGCAAACCTGGGAACAAAAAGTACTCAGCTTGTTAAAGGCATTCTGGCATCTAACTCCCTCCTCAATGGGAGTTAGGAGCCTAAATACCTTTAAAATCTTACCCTTAGTACCTAACAGGAGGTGCCCATCACACTGAAGTACAGGCCCCTAAGTCCTGACAGCTGAATGGAAATTGGCTTATTGAAGCTGTATATCATACTATTCCTCAGAAAACCCTTCACTCTTCTGAACATGAAATGCAGGCAGGGAAAAGATGGTGACTGGCTGACTGGGTATCAGCTTGTTTTGGTTAAAGATCCAATGTCCAGTTAAGAAACGTCTGCTCTGCGGTGCTATTTTGGGATACTTCCGGTATCCCAAAGGAGCTGTTCTGCTGCTTTTGAGCAAGCCCGTTATTTTGAAATATAACAGGCTCATTATTCTGACCTCCCTCTACACATCATTCCACAAGGAGTAAGGAACATTTCGGAATAGCGCTCTATTTCGAAATAAGTTATTTTGAAATTAACTAGAAATAAGCTACACAATTTGCATAGCTCAAATTGCATAGCTTATTTCGAGCTACGGGTGTAGACTCACCCTTAGGAAATAACAACTGGCTTTATTTGGCAAATTCTACTGAGTTTCACCATGACACACGAGCTGTGGAAGGAGGATTCTACCTCTGGTTTCACAGAAAACCAACTCCCTAAAGCTGCTAGGAATTAAACCAGAGGACCGGTAGCATCAGAGAAAAGCTCTGATTGACTCATTATATATACCAGGGTCTCAAACTCCCAGCCTGCAGGCCACCCCAGGCTGGAGCGATTACACAATCCAGTCCAGGACTGCTGACAGGCCCAAGGGTGGAGATTTCTGAAATCAGTCCACAAGCTCCACCCCTTCTTGCCATCACCCCACCCCCTCTGCCTGGCACTCCATGCCCAAGGATGCCGCTTTTGAGGTCACTGAATAGCCTGGCTGTGGTCATACTCCCCCGCACTCCCCAGAGTGCACTTGCCCAGTGAGCCCCCCTTTCATAGCTCCTGCTGCCTCACAGTGTGCAGAGGGAGAAGGGAATGGCTGCTGCTGTTGTGCGGTATCAGGTCCCCCCTATGATCCCCAAAGCCATGTCCTTGGGGATGGAGTGCTGTGGGGGGAAAGGTAGGGCAGAGCGATGGTGGGAAGGGTCAGGGTTTGAGGACCAGTAATGGACAGGCCCCTCAGTCCTGGGCCAGATTGCACAATTGGTCTGGCCAGGGATGGCCTGCCGGCCAGGAGTTTAAGACCTCTGATATATACTCTGCATGTTGGTCGTTCCTGCAAGCTGCTTGTGGACACTGAAAAAAAAACCCCTGCCACATCTGCTGGGGATGGATAGTAAACCAGCAATTGGAGGAGAAGCCTGGCATATTTAATATCCCCGTTGCAATGGGATTCTTATGAGGCAGCTGTGGGCCTTACCCAAAGCCCACTGAAATCAATGGGGGCCTAGCCATAAACTTCACATTGCTCTAAGTTAGGTCCAATGGTTGCAGAGTCTGGAGACCTAGAATGTTGGGCCAAATGCTCAACTAGTATAAACCGATTTGAGCTGAAATCGAAGGAGCTCTTGTTGCTTTATCCCAGATGAAAGCATGATGATGATGAAGAGGAGGAACATGCTGATAGACGAGCACTATGCTGGGCCAAATCTTCAGCTAGTCTCAATTGACGTGGCCCATAATCACTGGAGCTACCCTGCTCGGTTGTAGATGAGGAGCTATGTTAGTGCCTGAATGCAGGACAAAATGGTTTATTTTATACCCTCTAAAACAAGAAATGAGCCACAGGTTAGGTTACTAACCTAGCACCCTGGAGACCTCTGGCTTTTTGAGTCACCTGCACAAATCCTTCAATCTGTCTGTCTCAGTTCCCCCTCTGTAAATGGGGAAAGCCAACCTCACCGGACATAGTGAAGGTACAATAAAACTCCGGTGGTCCGGCATCCAGTGGTCCGGTACGCCTGATGGTCCGGCACCAACTGAAACCCGGAAGTGCTCCGGCAGCTGCTTCAAGTTGTTAGAGTAATTGATTAACTGCGGCTGGATCCACAGCCGACACGCAGTTAATGTAACTTTCCTCTCTACTGCCGGGAAGGGGGAGGGCAGGGAAAGGCAGGGGTCGGTGGGAGAGGGGAAGGGAGAGGAGGAGGGGGCGAGGTTGTGCCAAAGTAGCCGCATTCAGGACGTTCTGGTCAGTTACAGTCACTCCGGCTGGATCCACAGCCGACATGCAGTTAATGTAATTTTCCTCTCTACTGCCGGGAAGGGGGAGGGCAGGGAAAGGCAGGGGTCGGTGGGAGAGGGGAAGGGAGAGGAGGAGGGGGCGAGGTTGTGCCAAAGTAGCCGCATTCAGGACGTTCTGGTCAGTTACAGTCACTCCGGCTGGATCCACATTAACTGCGTGTCGGCTGTGGACAAGTTAAGCCCCTCAATGGGCTTTGGACGTCGGTCTCTTTACTCTGGTTTGCTTGCATTTTCCTTTCTGGTGTGAGCACTGCTGTTTGGATTGTACTATTAAAGGAACAAGCATGTGCTTTTCCTGCCAAAAGGAGTGATCACTAGGGATTTATAAATTGGGTTGTGGCTGATGACTACACGGATCATAGCACTGCCCCGCCAGGGTGAGCCTCATACTTCAATATTATATCCAGTGCTGTAAGGGTCTTTGCAGCTACCGTTATAAATGGTTTATTGGTAGCAACTGGGAGGAATGTCATAGCTCTACTCTGCCATGTTAGGGTCACTCTCTATAAGAAAGAGCATTGATAACTAAAACGGATAAGTAACACAAGCAGCTATCTGCATATCTGCACCGAACAGACCAAACCTAACCTTACAGCCAGTTCTGCCCTCATTTACACTCTCTATGAGCCAGAGTGACTGCAGTTAAATCAGCAAATACTGCTGTAAAGGGCAACAAAATTTGACCCAGAGATGTAAACAGGCTAGGGGTGGTAACCGGAGTGAGCTTTTCACAGTATGAAGTTCAGAGCTAAGCTTTTCAGAATTACATAGGCTATGTCTAGACTGCAGGCTTCTTTCAGAAGAAGCTTTTCCGGAAGAGATCTTCTGAAAAAACTTCATCGGAAAGAGAGCGTCCACACTTCCAAAGCTCATCAAAAAAGCTATCTGCTTTTTCAACAGTTAGCATCCACACTGAGGCTATGTCTAGACTGCAGGAAGAGATCTTCCACAAAAATGTCTTGTGCAAGAGCGCATCCACACTGCAAAAGCGTATCGAAAAAGCAATGCGCTTTTGTGAAAGAGAGCATCCAAACTGTATGGATGCTCTCTCGAAAGTAAGCACTGATTGGTATGCACAGAATGGCCACCAGGGCACCTGTGCTTTTTCCTGTTTCCTCTTTTTGCATAAAACCCCTGTCTTCCACATCCACACACACCTTTTTGAGAAAGAACTCTTTCGCAAAAAGGCTTCTTCCTCGTAGAAAGAGGAATACCAATTGTGCAACCCCCCCTCTGTTCTTTCAATTCTCTTGCGTTGAGGTGTGGACACTCTGTGAGTTTTTGTGGAAAAACAGCTGTTTTTCTACAATAAATCTGTAGTGTAGACATAGCCTCATTGAATGGACCCTATCTCATATGTAAGCTGTGATTACTATGGGCAGAGTGGCTACCAGGGCACCTGTGCTTTTTCCTTTTTCCTCTTCTATCGAAAGAATTCCCTCTTCCCTGTCCACACACACCTTTTTCCGAAAGAGCTCATTCAGAAAAGGCATTCTTCCTCGTAGAAAGAGGTTTACCAATGTCAGAAAAATTCCTCTGTTCTTTCAATATTTTTTCAAAAGAATGCAGTTGCAGTGTGGACATGAGGTTTTGTTTTTTTTTGAAAAACAGCAATTTTTCTGAAAAAACGGCCATTTTTCTGGAAGAATACCCATACTGTCTTAGTCGTATGGAGGGCAAAGATAATTTTACATACTGCAATCAGTTATTCATGGAGGCCCAAATTCTCAGACTTAGGTGGCCAAAGATAGGCACCTAAACAGAAATGGCTTAATTTTTGGAGGGACTGAAGTCCCACCAAAGTTCATGGGAACAGCAATGCTCAATACCAATGAAAATTGTGATCCAATTGCAGGATCAAGACCTAGGTTTTGTAGTGTTTCCAGCTGCCTGTGCCCTCCTGTAAGCAAAGGTCTTTTTTACCAGCTTGGGAAGCATATAACTGTACACTGGGTTTCAGCAAAATTCAGGTCTCAGTTTCCTCTGTTAGATTAGCTAATTATTGTTATTAGTAGAGCTGGTCAAAATAGTCCACTTTTCAATTTTTGGATGAAATTTAGATGAAAAAAATGTGGACTGTGTAAAACGGTCCTTTTTCAACTAGCTCAAGTCATTGGCTAATTATGTGAGATTCACCATAGGACCTATCTGGTGCTCTGAGCATTGGATGTAAAAAAAAAAAAGCATCATTTTCCCTCGTTTCCTGTCATTTACTTTTCTTTCCTTCATTGGTTCTTTTCTGAGTTTTCTTACACCACAAAGTAGTAAATCAATGTAAAGCATTCGTGTATGATATATTGTGAATATAGCTTCATATTGATATTTTATGTTTTTCCTGTATCAATTGAAATGAGTATAGTTCTGTGAGGGTATGTTGACACAGCAGCCTTATTTTGGAATAATGCCAGTTATTCTGAAATAACGTAGTACGCATCTACACAGCAAGCCCGTTATTTTGAAATACAGGCAGTCCCCGGGTTACATGGATCCGACTTACATCGGATCCCTACTTACAAACGGGGTGAGGCAACCCCGCACTAGCTGCTTCCCCCCAGCAGACCAGGGAGACGCGGAGCGGCTTTTCTCAGCAGACACCTCAGCTTGAGAATAAAGGACTGAGGGAAGTGAGGTGTGGGAGAATAAAACTGAGCTCTGGAGAAATGTTTGGCTAGAGTTTCCCCTACAATATGTACCAGTTCCGACTTACATACAAATTCAACTTAAGAACAAACCTACAGTCCCTATCTTGTACGTAACCCGGGGACTGCCTGTAAATTCAAAATAATGGATTTCTTACTCCGACTTCTGTAAGCATCATTGTATGAGGATTACAGAGCTATATACACTACAATGAGATTTCTGTCAACTGGACAACAGTGCTGCTTCTTAAACCATTGAGAACTCTTGCTCAGCCTGTTGCCTGCTGCTGGAATTAGCAAAATGTCTTGTGTATGCTGTGCCAAAAAAGGCAGAGAGAGTTATTACTGTCGTGTATGTTTTTTACAAAGGAAAATGAGAAAGATTAAATGCTATCTCACCCCTCTTTCTCATATTGGTGTTCCCAAGAGGCACGTTCATAGAGAACTGAGAAAATTATCTCCTGAAGATTTCGTAATTAATTTGATTTAGACACATTTTGTCCCATGCAAACAATAGCTGAAAGCTAATTTCAAAGACACAGATCTGAGGATTAGAGATGACTGAGCATTTTTCAATGACTATTTTTCTGACAAAAAATGCCAATTTGTTGAAACCAAAACTACTTGCAAACACCTCGACTCATAAAAAAAAAGTTAAAAAAAGTTTCTAGATTGTTGAATTTGCAACACCATGGAAATAAAAAATATTGGTATTTTGATCTGTATAACATTTTGTTGAGAAATTTTAGTAAGCTTACACCAAAAACAGTAAAAAACCAAAAAATTTCAAAACTGAATCAAAATGTTTTCAAATGAATTAAACAATTTTTTCCATTGGTCCAAACCAAAATATTTTTTTTAATTTTTGTTTTGGTTCATGAAAATTTGAGAATTCCTAGAACTTTTTGTCCTAATTCAACATGGGAAAAAATTTCAAATACTGAAAATCCTTGAGAGATGGAAAAAACATTTTCCACCTTGTCCAAATGAGGATTCATTGGAAACTGAATGTAAACCTTATATGAGAAGTGCTGCCATGCTCATCCAAGCAGATGACAGAAACAATCTCATGTAATTTACCATATCAATAACAACTTGGATAACAAAAATTGGCTAGTCTCAAAAAAACTTCCCTGAAGGTTTAATAAGAAAAATAACCAGCAATTCTCATGAATAATTTTTAACACAAAATACATTTGAGGAAATTTGCATCTGTTCACGGATTGATTATGAGCAGGAAAAAAGGCTAAGGTCATTGGATGAAACTATTTGCTGTAAATTATTTGCTCAGCTCTAATACAAGGTAACCCAGCAGTGATGTAAGGAACAGTCCTGGGACAGATCCTCAGTCACAGCTCTTCTTATGTCATTGAAGTGATGACAATTTAAAACACCTGAGGAGCCATCCTCACTTACTCAGCATAATTATACTGCTCTGTAATTAGCCAACTGGCCATTCGGCAGCCTCCTCCTCTATCGTCCTACTGTAATTGCCTCCACCAACTCCCACAACATTTCAAATGAAGTTGGGTCCAGATGTCCCATGTTTCATGCCCTGTCTTTCAGAAATCTTTTTGTTAAATTCAGAGCACTACAAAGGACAACGCATTCCCTGAACCACTGCCCACATCAGAGAGTGGGGGCTGATTTTCCATTGACTGCTCTTTGTGAAGTTATTTACACCAGTGCATAGCAGGTATGAAATTATCTCCCAAAGCTGAATGTGATTGTCTGGCTCCGGCATTACCAGGTGTGTTGTGAACAAGACACAAGAAGTCATTCTTCTGCTCTACTCTGTGCTGATTAGGCCTCAGTTGGAGTGTTGTGTCCAGTTCTGGGCACCACATTTCAAGAAAGATGAGGAGAAATTAGAAAAGGTCCAGAGAAGAGCAACAAGAATGATTAAAAGTCTAGAGAACATGAACTATGAAGGAAGACTGAAAGAATTGGGCTTGTTTAGTTTGGAAAGGAAATGACTGAGAGGGGACAGGATAGCAGTTTTCAGGTATCTAAAAGGGTGTCACAAGGAAGAGGGAGAAATATTATTCTCCTTAGCCTCTGAGGATAGGACAAGTAGCAATGGGCTTAAACTACAGCAAGGAAGGTTTAAGTTCGACATTAGGAAAAACTTCCTAACTGTCAGGGTGGTGAAACACTGGAATAAGTTGCTTATGGAGGTTGTGGAATCTCCATTTCTGCAGATACTTAAGAGCAGGTTAGATAGACATCTATCTGCAATGATCTAGACAGTACTGGGTCCTTCTATGAGGGCAGGGGACTGGATTCTATGACCTCTTGAGGTCCCTTCCAGTTCTAATGTTCTATGATTCTACATTGGACTGCTGTAAAGGACCACACAAGGTTCAAAGAAGTGGAGAATCAGCCTCTGAAATTTCCATAAAGCGGTGTCCAAGACAAGAGTCTGCTGGGAAGAGAAAGTAGGTCCAGCCTAGAACCAGTCATAGATTTCAAGGCCAGAAGGAACCACTGTGATCATGTAGGGCAGGTTTACACTGTGGGGAAATATTGATCTAAAATAACAAATCCAGTTGCGTGAATAGCACAGCTGGAGTTGACGTACCTGGAGTTGCCATCAGGTCTCCACTGCAGGGGGTCAATGGGAGAAACTCTCCCGTTGACTTCCCTAACACTTCTCATTCTGGTGGAGTACCAGAGTCAATGAGAGAGCAATCAGCAGTTGATTTAGTGGGTCTTTATTAGACTCTCTAAATTGATCCCTAGGGGATCAATAACCGCAGCACTGACCTCCTGGTAAGTGTAAACCTGTCCATTGTCTGCCCTCCTGCATAATACAGGCCAAAGATTTTCCCCACAATGATTCCTATGACAATCCAAAAAACATCCAATCTTGATTTTAAAATTGTCAGAGATAGAGAATCTATCACAACCCATGGTATCTTGTTACAGTGGTTAATTCCTGACACTCTTAAATATTTACAGTATATTTCCATCTGAATGTGACCTCATGCAGCCCCATTTCCCCACTGCTCCACATCCATCTCCACTGTAACTTCTGGGTCCAAATAGCACTATCAGCGTATACTATCAGTGTCCATGGGAGCTGTGCCAATTGTACCAGGCCTGAACTTGAGCGGATAGAATGGCAAATCAGTCCACATTTTATGCATCCATTGATCTCCAAATCGATACACATTATATCGCCTTCGCTCACGAACAGGTAACATATACTTAGGGCTTCTGCTTTTTCAGGTATATTGAGTTCATATTTGGGGTTATTAGTAAGATGAGGGCCTGAAACATAAGCCTATGTATTACAGGCCTGGTGTGAGGCCTGAGGCCTAGCTAGCAATGATCAAGACTTTGTGAATATAAATTAAAAAACGGAGCTATGTAGCACTTTAAAGTGCTACATAGTTCTGTTTTTTGATTCAGCTACACCAGACTAACACGGCTACATTTCTATCACTATTGAATATAAATTAAGCATTACATTTAGCATGAAATATTAGTAATGCTCCTCACGTAAAAATAAATGTCTATACCACAAATGCAAAACTATAGCTTGTGTTATAAAAGATTTGCCCCCTATTGTATTATAAACAAACTAAATTAATTTCTGCATTAAATTTAGGTTACTAAAAACAAGAAAAATGTAAAACAAACAAATAAAAAGCCTTCTGGTATATTTTTAACAATTTTTGAGTTTTGTGTAGGTGTCTGCATCAGGGTTTTTCAGGGCTTTCTTTTTTATCTACTGTAATGAGTAATATATATTATACACATGACTCATTACAACAGTATATACTGTAATAAGCAAACCCTTTGTAATGTTCCCTAAGACACTTTAACATAGTGCCATTTCAAGCAGCATAACACTGAAGTGCATGAAAGAACCTCTAGTACTGTATACACCAGCAGGGTTTATGGACCAATTAATGTACAACACTCTAATGTGCTTTAGAAATCACAACCCCTTAGTCCACATTCCAGTCGCATGTAGACAAGCCCTTAGATACCATGAACCATTTCTGGTGATTTTCCAGTGTCTATTGGATAAATACCAATTTCAGGGTTTTTTTTAATACTAAGGATGTTTTATTAGTGTTTATTTTGAAAAAAACTAAAAAATCTTAAGCCTTACTCACACAATAATTACACAGGCACAGAATTTGACCCAGGACATACCCAGCTGTTGCCAGTCTTAGACACTGGGGTAAATAATGAGTACTTTCACTGAAGTACATGAAGCTACAGGACTACCAGTGAGGGTGAGAATCAGTTCCTTGGACCTTGGCACTTTCATGAAAATTTGAAAAAAAAAAAAAAAAAAAAAAAAATTAGTCTCAATAGTGAGACATAAGTAGAGGGTGGGGGAGAAGGGACTGGTTTCTTCCCCAGAGAAGGGGTAATTGATTTATATAAGCCTCATCAGCTCTGACGAAGGGAATCTGTGCCATAAACTGTTCCATGCTGAGCACTCATTTGGCTCCTTGCATCTAATACCTATTCATGTACGCACTGCTTTTGAATCCAAATTGCAGTCATTTCCATCAGCTCTTCACCTCAGCCTTGGAATGCGTTAGTGAAATCAAATGCTCTGTGCCTCCGCTCCCTGAGCCGTTCTTAGCATTCACTGCAGCTTTAGTCACAAACCAAAGGCTTTCTAAGTAACATTTAACGTGCCCGATTACCTGCTCATTGCTCTGACTGTTTATAGCATGGCATGTTTGATAACTGGAAACATAAGATGTTACTTCGAAAGCGGGGCTGCGCATGACATGTGGTCTAAGTTCTGTTAAGGGGAGACAGTAGAAAGCGTTTGATTTTAGTCATTTGTATGCACACCAACATTCTCCCTTTAGAAATACCAGTGCAGACCTGCCGAGGGGTGTGTGCAAAGGAGGCAATTGCTCCAGGGCCTGGAGATTCAAAGAGGCCTGGGACCTCAGTAGCAGTGAAGTGGGCCTTTAAATCCCTGCCAGAGTGGTCTGCTGGGCGCTCCATGCAGTGCTAAGGCCTGAGAGGTAGGAGGAGAGGAGAGCTGCGCCCTGGGCAGCACTGAGGGCTGGCTGAGGGCACAGAACCACTCCCCCCAACTTTGCCCAGGGTCCCATGGAGGCTGTTGGCTCTGCTGTACCAGTGTAGTTAAAGCAGGGCAAAGCCCTGTAGTGTGGGAACAGGTACAGTTGTATAAAATGGCTTTATACTGGGGTAGCTGTTCCTGAGCCGTTAGTAGCTGTACAGGAAGAGGAATAAGCTGTATTGATATTAAGAACCTTTATATAACTGTGTCCATACCAGTGTTCCTTCTAAGCCATGTAGCAGCACAGCTTCCCAGGTGATTAATCAGCCCCACCCAGTCAGAGGCTCAGGGCTCCATGAAGGGACCTGGAGGACTGAGCAAGGGTGATTAATCACCTGGGAAGCTGTGCTGCCATGCAATTTAGAAGGAACACTGGTCCACACTAGGGGCTGTATGACAATAACTACCCTGGCAATGAATGAATAAACAAATGATTACTCCTCCCCCCTAACTCAACACAGTTATCCAGATACAAAAGCTGGGTTGCTCATGCCAAAATGTTCTAAAAATAAGGGGTAAGATATGGGGTTGCCAGATACCTTCACAAAAAATCCCGAGCAGGCAGGGAAACATTGGTTGAGCAAAAAAAAAAAAAGAGGTTGCTGCGCCTTTAAATTACTGTGCTCCTCACTGTCTCACTGTCCTCGCAGATGCCACTGGCCTTCCATCCAAGAAAAGCAGAGAATACCGGACATGTCTGGTATTCTGTTTTTTTTACCAGATGGAAGGCCAAAATATCAAACTGTCCAGGCGAAAACCAGACACCTGGCAACCCAATTTGGCCACTGTGGGCAGACAGGACACTGGGCTAGACCCAGTCTGGCCATTCTTACACCCAGCTCCTCAGTCAAAAGCCGGGCTAGCGCACATCTCCTAACACGGGGACAGCAGCACTGGTTCCCAGGTGAGATCGGAGTGGGGGGGGGGGGCACATTTTAGAAGGATTCCCTGGGGCGAGGGAGAGGCCCTGAGGCAGAGACGCTCTTGCCCTGTGGGACAATCACTCCCCCAGGTTCCGGACACACGTGTTTGATCAGGCATATGTGGCCCAAACTACAGACCCAGCCAAGCAACTGGAACAACCCCCCTCCCCATAAACTTCTTGCTGGGCTGCTCCTGGATCTTGCACTCCCCCCCTCCAGATCGCTTTACACAGGAGTTTCTTCCGCAGGCTTTTGGGGGGCCCCGCCCCCCCCAGTCTGCCTCCACCTGCACTGGGAAGGGGCATGGTGCCTCCCCAGCCACAGCTGGTGAGTTCCGAGTGGCCAGGCTGGTCACAGTCTTACAGAGCCAGTTTCACTTACATTTTTCCTCCCCCTCCCCGAGTTTCTTTTCCTTACATAACTCAGTACAGGGCTGCAGGGAGGACAGGAGGCAGAGCAGGGGACCCAGTCCCACCCCCAGGGAAGCCAAATCTCCCTCTGCTTCTGCTCTCACATCCATCCCCTGGCAGGCAAGCCCTATCTTTTTCAGCCGCTGCTCCTTTAGATTGCTGCGCTCCTCGCTCCCCCCACCCTCACAGATGCCGCCAGCCTTCTGTCCGAGGAAAACAGAAAATACAGGACTTTTTACATGTCCGGTATTCTCTGTTTTTTTTACCTGACGGAAGGCCAAAATACTGGACTGTTCGG